CTAAGACTAGAAATGATACAGGAGCAAACAAAACGTGATGCCAGGCTGGACGCTATGGTTCATGTCTGCAATCCCAGCATTCTGGGAGGCTGAGGCAGAAGGATCACTTGAGCTTAGGAGTTCCATAATACGCCTGGGCAATTATCACTATACTATACTTCACCTCCACAAAAATATTTTTTTTTTCTTAATTTTTTTTTTTTTTTTAAAGACAGGGTTTCACCATGTTGGTCAGGCTGGTCTTGAACTCCCGACCTCAAGTGATCCGCCTGCCTTGGCCTCCAAAGTGCTTGGATTACAGGTGTGAGCCACCACACCCGGCCAAAAATGATTTTTTTTAATTAAAGGAGCATGGTCATGGGCACCTGTCGTCCCAGCTGCTCAGGAGGCTACGACGGGAGGATCTCTTGAGCCTGGGAAGTGGAGGTTACAGTGAGCTGAGATCTGGCCACTGCACTCCAGACTGGGAGACGGACTGAGATCCTGCCTCACAACAAACAAACAAACAAAAAAGGGGCAGTCAAATATCCCTAGGAACTTCCTACTGCCCACAGCAGAGGTACAGAAATAAAAAAAGGGGCTGGGCGCGGTGGCTCACGCCTATAACCCCAGCACTTTGGGAGGCTGAGGCGGGAGGATCACAAGGTCAAGAGAGCAACACCATCCTGGTCAACATGGTGAAACCCCGTCTCTAACAAAAACTGCAAAACTTAGATGGGCATGGTGGGGCGCACCTGTAGTCCCAGCTACTTGGGAGTCTGAGGCAGGAGAACTGCTTGAACCGAGGAGGTGGAAGTTGCAGTGAGCCAAGATCACGCCACTACACTCCAGCCTGGTGCCTGGTGACAGAGCAAAGCTCTGTCTCAAAAAAAAAGGCTGGGCACAGTGGCTCACGCCTGTAATCCCAGCACTTTCGGAGGCTGAGGTGGGCGGATCACGAGGTCAAGAGATCAAGACCATCCTGGCCAACATGGTGAAACCCCGTCTCCACTAAAAATACAAAAATTAGCTGAGGGTGGTGGCGCACGCCTGTAGTCCCAGCTACTCGGGAGGCTGAGGCAGGAGAACTGCTTGAACCCAGGAGGCGGAGGTTGCAGTGAGCCGAGCACTGCGCTCTGGCCTGCCGCCTGGCAACAGAGTGAAACTCTGTCTCAAAAAAAAAAGGGGGTAGGAAGATCTGAGCATAGACACTTCCTTCAGCAGCCTATTTCTGCAAGTACTGAAGACAGACAATGCCTACCAAGGTTACTGAAGGACATTCTCTGAAAAGAATCAGTGGCTATTAAAATGCAAATGCTTAAGTGACTGTAAAAATAACTCGGAAAGTTATAATCTTAAAAAAAAAAAAAGTAATCTTTTCTCACAACACTCTTAGAATTTATTTAACAATGTCTGCTTCACGATGGGGATGGGTGGTAGTAAAAACAAAAGCATCAGTCCTCTCAGTATGAAGTGGTTATGTCAATCTCCAGAGATAGTGGAAGCCTTAAAAAGCACCTATTCCAACTTCACACCTAATTCCTGGACATGTCTGACTATAAATTCCTGTTTCAAGAAGATAAAACCAGAAAGTTCCACTTGCTCCTTTCATCTGCTGATTCCTGCTAAAATAACACTGTTACATTACACCACACCTCATCTATCACCAGATGATGTAATTAGATCCAAACACACCATGACATTGCTAAAGAGGGACACAAAAGCCATCTATATTATAAACAGGAGCTTCTATTAAAAATTCAATCCATTTAAATAATTTAAAATGCTACCTTCATAAACATTACATAGAAGACACTGAATATGCTACTTCTGAAAATTTGATAAAAATTAAGATAATTGGCTGGATGAGGTGGCTCATGCCTTTAATACCAGCACTTTGGGAGGCTGCAGCAGGTGCATCACCTGAGCTCAGGAGTTTGAGACCAGCTTGGCCAACATGATGAAACCCCGTCTCTACTAAAAATACAAAAGACAGCCGGGTGTAGTGGCGGATGCCTGTAATCCCAGCTACTCAGGAGGCTGAGGCAGAAGAATCACTTGAACCAGGGAGGCAGAGGTTGCAGTCTGCTGAGATTGTGCCATTGCACTCCAGCCTGTGTGACAGAGCAAGCAAGTCTCCATCTCAAAAAAAAAAAAAAAAAAAAATTAAGATAATTTAGTTATCATGAAGATAGTAATGTGACTTGTCTAAGAGTCTCATGTGCTCACTATGTTGAAATCTCAAGGTGGAAAGTACAAAAATGTATGATCTTGTTATTATCCAGTTATTTGAACTGTTGTAGGGTTTTTTTTTAAATCATTAATGTTTTTAAAAGAATTGTTTAGCACCGAAAAAAAATTAAGAAAAATAAATAAATAAAAAGAACTGTTATCTTGGTGGGGCGCAGTGCCTCATGCCTGTAATCCCAGCACTTTGGGAGGCCGAGGGAGGTGGGTCACCAGCTCAGGAGTTCACGACCAGCCTGGCCAAGATGGTGAAACTCCATCTCTACTAAAAATACAAAAATTAGCCAGGCGCAGTGGTGGGCACCTGCAGTCCCAGCTACTTGGGAGGCTGAGGCAGAGAATTTCTTGAACTTGGGAGGCAGAGGCTGCAGTGAGCCGAAGCAGAGATTGCGCCACTGCACTCCAGCCTGGGCAACACAGTAAGACTCTGTTCTCAAAAAAAAAAAAAAATAGAATAGTTATCTTTTGGAAAGGTATATCTTTTGGAAATGTATCATTTATGGAAGAAATGATATAATATCAGGAATCTGCCTCAGAAATCATCTGGGGGTAGTGAGTGGGGAGTTTACAGATGAACCAAGACTGCTGAAACTGAGCGATGGCTACAGGGTTACATAACATGAAAATCAACCTTTCTATACCCTGTAAATTACCTAATGCAAAACAGTTACTTAGCTTGAGGAAATCAAGAGCTCTCCTCCGTCCCAGGAAGCCGGCCCAAGTCCAGGCACTCAGACCATGCCCAGAATTGCTTCTTCCTAAGCCGTCCAGAAGAACAGACAGAAGGAGTAATGCCACAGGAAATCCCTTCCACTTTCCCAACCTCACCAAACGCCAGTCACCCAGCCCTTTCCCCAACCTTCAAATTCCACCAGGTGCTCTCAGACTAAAGAATTCTGACTCATTTCTACTTTGTGATGACAAGAAAGCTCAGCCCCAAATAGCAACCCAAAGTTTTTCCCATTGTGATCAATAAGGGAGGTTATGACAAAAGATGTTTCTCAAATAAAAAGAATTGTATGAAAAGTCAACAAGATAAAATAATATCACAATAGGGATATTGTGAGCCACCAAACTAAGTAAGAAGAGCCAACTAAGGCCTCAGAGCCAAAAGACCCAGTTCTGCCCCTGTAAGGCTTTGGGAGAGCTATTTGACCTTTCTGGGTTTCGGGTTTCTTACCTGAGAAGTGGGATGAATCCTGCTTGCCTAGTTACCATTTCAGAGGACTGTGGTGATAATCCAGTGGAAACATACCTGCGCCTCACAGAAGCTCTCTATCAGAGTTGGGTTACCGTCATGAAAAGCAAATGTGGTACTCTAACTACTCTGCTGTACTGAAGCAAGAGAGTATGTTTGGGAGAAGACACGGCGCATTAGCCAACAGCAACCAAGTGAGCTCAAGGTGCTCTCCAGCCCAGGGGCAAGAAGGAAACGTAGCAAAGCACCTGGACCAGCAACCACCATCCATGCTGACCATACAAGAAACTATCAGTGACATATTTCAATGCCCATTAGACTAGATGGAAACCCATCCTGACAATATCCCAACCAGAGGTAAGCAAGTGAGCACTGCAGGCACCTGTCTGCACGTCTTAGTGTGAACTAGGCAAGGAGCCCTGATTTATCAGGACTCTGTTCTTCACACTCTCAAAGGATACAGTGGATGCTGAGGGGGCATATGGATTCCTCATCAAGGTTCTTAATGTTATGACTGACACCCTAAGTAGCAATGTGCCCATTTTACCACTTTTCTTACGGACCTCTTGGCTTAAACATGCATCTGTACTTGAACACCCACGTAGCAGATGCCTGCATGTGTGAGAAATCAACAAAATACAAAAATTGACAGATCAGCACCTTAGGGATTTCCTACTAAGTAATATATTTAGAAGTGAACACTGGTATTATCTGATGTCCACCGGGTAATTGGCAGAACACACATAGCCCTGCTGTTACCTCCACTTAAACTTCAGTAAGTGGTGAGGTAGACAGAAACGACTCCACCTTGGGTCCCACCTTCCCCCCAGGAGCAGGCGCCCTGAGGACCCCTGGCACGCTGTACTTACTGTGTATGATGCCTGTCCATGCATTTCACCTCTCTTTCGAGAGTGGAGGTGGCCCTAATGGTGTTCTGGTAGACTTCTGTATTTGCCACCGAGCATTTCACACACGAGCTTGGAGGCTCATTCCCTTCCTCCCCAAAGGTACCAAAGTGAAAATTTTTAATTTCGGGACCTTCTACAAGCATTCACCATCTCCCAAACAATAAAAGATGAAATCTAAGTAGAGAAGATGCCAACCATACATAGTAAAGTCACCGTGCTCAAAACAGGTGTCTATCAGCAGGATCTCAAGGTGCCTGGGCAGTCTGGCCTCTGCGGCTTGAAGTTGGGTGGATTCGGCCGAGCAGTATCTGGGCCCTCGGGTGGGAGAATCGCGGGGAACTTCGTTCAGGGGCACGTCGATCAGGTCCCCGGGAGGGTGTGCCCAGGCCGGGAGCTGACCTTGGTAAGATCCAGCTGACCAGGTGCCGGGGGGAGGGGAAGAAACTGCCTCCCCAGAATAGAACCTCCTGTTAAGGGGGGAAGGGGGACTCCAGCGAATTCAACCAGAAATCCAGGGCCGAAGTGGTGAATAAGCAAAAAAAGCAGGACCCGCAGGTCTTGCCGGTGCCTTTCCCGACTGCAGGGGCCGCGTCGGCCGTTCCCACGTCAACCCCGCAGGCAGCCGCGCGCCTGCCCGTTCCCACGCCCCGGCCCCGGCCACTCCGTACCTGCTCTGCCCCGTAGACCGTGGCAAACTGGACGAAGTCCTCGATGCGGACGAAGCCGTCCCCATCCCCGTCCAGGGCATCGAACACGGCTCGGAGGCGGGAGCCGTCCTCCTGACTCGCCGCGGGCTCGCTCGAAAGCGGGTGCGAACGGCCAAGGTCCGAGGGCTGCGGCGGGGCCCCGGGACCCTCCTCCGGCGCCAGCGCTCCCGCCGTGGGCGCGGGGAAGGGAGGGAAGAGGTCGACCTCGCCCCGGGCTCGGAGGGTGCGGCCGGGCCCCTGCGCGCGGAAAGGCGCGCTCTCCGGGCAGCTCGGGGGGCCGCACTCGGGCTCCTCAGTCCAGGGGAAACACGGACCGAGCCGTGGCAGCGGCGCCTCCAAGCAGGGCCCTGGGCCCGGGGAGCCGCGCGGCGGCGGCGCAGGCGGCCCGGGGTCCCGCGGGCTCCCCTCCAGCCCCGGGGCCGGCCCGGCGCTCCAGCGCGCCCCGCAGTCCGCAGCGGCTCCGGGCGCAGGCTCGCCCAGGCCCGGGGACTCCGCGTCGGGGCCGGCGGCTGGCGCTCCGAGGCGTAGCTCCGCGGGGCCCAGCGCCGGCTGCGCCGCCCCCGGCCCGTCCGGCCCGCCAGGCTCAGGGTCAGGCCCCGGCGGCTCCGAGCCCGGGGGCGAGGCCGGCGGGGCCGACGCCATGCTCCCGAGAGGCTAGTGGTGCGGCGGGCGCGGGCGGCAGACAAAGGCGCTCAGGGCGCGGCGGCGGGCGCGGGCATCCCCTCGGCGGCGCGGGCGGGCGCGCGCGGGGCGCCCGGGCTGCTGGGGCTGGCGCTCGGGCCCTGCTCCGTCCTCGCCCATCCTCGCGCCGCGCCTCAGCTGCCCTCAGCCCGGCGGCGCGGCGGGCGCGGGCCCATGGCGGCGGGGCGGCCTGGGAAGGGCGGCGAGGGGTCGGGCGGCCCGGGGCCGAGGGGACCGGAGGCCTCGGAGCCTGAGGCGCAGGCTAAGGGGGCTGAGGCGCCGGAGGCACCCGGAGAACCAACGCCGCCGCCGCCGCCCGGCCCCGCCCTCCGCTGTGCCTGACGTCAGCACGTCCGGGCGGCGCCGGCCCCGCCCCTCGCCGGTTTGCTATAAAGGCGCGCGCCGGGACCGTCGCGGCAGTGCGGCGGCCGTCACCGCGGGGGTGGCCAGGCTTGTCTCATTTTCTCAAGCGCCGGCCGTGGAGATGCTCAGAGGCTGTGAGCGCGGGCGTGAAGTGACGTGACGTCCCTGAACAGGGGCGCACGGGGTCAGGTCGTGCAAGGTGTGTTCCCGCCGCACAGCTACGAGCGGGAGCGACCGCGACCGGCGCACGTTGCGGACGAGTAAACGGCACCGCGCGGCAAGCGACAGACGAGAAGGCACGCCGCCCCCTTGGAGCAGAGCCCTTCCGGGGCACCGCGCTCTCACGCGGATGAGACCAAGAGGAGGCGCACGCCTGGCTCCGCGGCCCCGGTGGTTGCGGGTGCTCCAGGAGTTGCGGGGCGCAGACCCGGCAGAGGGCGAGGCCCTGCCCAGGCCCCCCGAGGACCCCGGGAACGCAGGGTCTGAGACCGAGTGCGGAGGGGCCCCAGACACGCAGGCCATGCCCCTGGCAACCAGAGGCACGCGCGGCCTTTCCCTTGAGCCCGTGACCAAGGCCTCCAAGACGCACTGCGTTGGGACGGGCGCGGCTGCCCACGTCCAAGCGGGAGGATGGCTTGAGCCCAGGTGTTAGAGACCAGACTGGGCACCACAGCAAGACCTTGTCTCTACAAAAAAATAAGACTAACTTTGGGAGGCTGAGGTGGGTACATCACCTGAGGTCTGGAGTTCAAGACCAGCCTGGCCATCATAGTGAAACCCTATCTTAAAAAAATAATAATAAGGCCGGGCGCGGTGGCTCAAGCCTGTAATCCCAGCACTTTGGGAGGCCGAGGCGGGTGGATCACGAGGTCAAGAGATCGAGACCATCCTGGTCAACATGGTGAAACCCCGTCTCTACTAAAAATACAAAAATTCAGCTGGGCATGGTGGCGTGTGCCTGTAATCCCAGCTATTCAGGAGGCTGAGGCAGGAGAATTGCCTGAACCCAGGAGGCGGAGGTTGTGGTGAGCCGAGATCGCGCCATTGCACTCCAGCCTGGGTAACAAGAGCGAAACTCCGTCTCAAAAAATAATAATAATAATAATAATAATAGTTATAAGACTAAGGAAGACACCCAGAGTGAATCGCCCGTCCTTAGCCAGCCTCCCGGGCACCGTGGCTGCGTTTGGCAACTGACCTCTGTGTCCAAGTGTCCCTCTCCTCAGAGGGACACAGGACCTCAGACAGGACCACAGCCCTGGCAGCAGGCATGATGGTGGGACAGGCTAGTTAGGAGCAGGTGAGGCACTAAATTTAGCCTGTCATGAAATGTATCAGGGAAATGATCAACTTGGATTTTTACACACCATGGGCACCAAGACAAGATATGGTTTTGTAAGCAGCTTTGGCAGGATACAAAGGAACGGAACCTCTGCTTCCAAGTGTACAGTCAGGAGCAGCGTGTTAATTAACTGAGTCATCTCCCTGGCAGAATCCCTGGGTACATGGGACCAGATTTTGTGAGGCTGGCATTGGGAAAAAAGAGACAAGGGGTCCTCCTCCCCAAACTATATTCGCATTTCCTTGTGAGAGCTGTATGTGTTCATGAGGAAGAGACTGCAGTCAAAGAATGAAATCACCTCCAGTTTGGGCAAGAATTCAAATTTGGGCTGATGTCTTTGGCCAGATAAAATTTTCAGAAGCAGTCAGTGATGTGTCAACCTTTATAAATGGGGGTGTTAGTGTGGGCGAGGCCAACACAGCAGGCTTCCTCTGCTTTTAATGTGCCGGTGCTGCCAGAAGCAGAAGGATGGCTTTCTTTTGTTTTGAGACAGAGTCTCACTCTGTCACCAGGCCGGAGGGCAGTGGCATGATCTTGGCTTACCACAACCTCCGACTCCCTGGTTCCAGCAATTCTCCTGCCTCAGCCTCCCAAGTAGGTAGGCCTACTGGCGCCTGCCACCATGCCCAGCTAATTTTTGTATTTTTAGTAGAGGTGAGGTTTCACCAAATTGGCCAGGATAGTATCAATCTCCTGACCTCAAGTGATCTGCCCACCCCGGCCTCCCAAAGTGCTGGGATTATAGGCATGAATCACCATGCCTGGGCACAACATGAGTTTTGGAGGGTATAAATATTCAAACCAAAGCAGCCGTCTTCTCACTCTGTCCTCACATGTTGGAGAAAGACTGTCTCTTCTAGCCCAGGTGTGGTGGCTCACGCCTGTAATCCCATCACTTTGGGAGGCTGAGGCGGGTGAATCACTTGAGGTCTGGAGTTCGAGACCAGCCTAGCCAACGTGGCAAACCCCATCTCTACTAAAAATACAAAAGTTAGCCAGGCATCGTGGTGGCCACATGTAATCCCAGCTACTTGGGAGGCTGAAGCAGGAGAATTGCTTGAACCCAGAAGGCAGAGATTGCAGTGAGCCGAGATAGCACCACTGCACTCCAGCCTAGGCAACAGAGAGACTCTGTCTCAAAACGTAAAAATACGAATAAAAATAAAAAACAAAATAGCAACAGAGAGCAAATTAGCAGTCACTTGGGAAATAAAGGGTAGGGACAGTTGAGAGGGAGGGATTACCAGGTGGACCTGCAACCTGGATGGCGCTGATTCCTTCACGGCGTAGATACGTAAGACCTCATCAGACTACACACTGTACATACGTGTAGTTTGCCTTGTGTCAACTATGCATCCATAAAGCTGTCAACGAAAATTGCCAGGCTGGGCGTGGTAGTTCACGCCTGTAATCCAAGCACTTTGGAGGCCAAGGTGGGTGGATCACCTGAGGTCGGGAGTTCAAGACCAGCCTGACCAACATGGTGAAACCCCGTCTTTATTAAAAAAAAAAAAAAAAAAAAGAAGAAAATTGCCTGCAAACTATTTTTTAATCGACAACTTTTTTTTTCTCAGGAGTCTTGCTCTGTCACCCAGGCTGGAGTGAAACGGTGTGATCTTGGCTCACTGCAGCCTCTGCCTCCCAGGTTCAAGCTATTCTGCCTCAGCCTCCTGAGTAGCTGGGATTACAGGTGCCCGCCACCACACCTGGCTAATTTTTGTATTTTTAGTAGAGACGGGGTTTCACCATGTTGCCCAGGCTGGACTCGAACTCCGGACCTCCAGTGATCCACCTGCCTTGGCCTCTGAAAGTTCTGGGATTACAGCCATGAGCCACCGCACCCAGCCTGACGACTTTGAAAACTAAATTAACATTTTGTATTTAGTAAGTAAACTTAGAGCAAAGTCACTTTTAGGACCAGGTAAAGCTACCCCTCATGGCCTCCAGCAGTTGAGAGTGCCGAGCCTCACCTCTGTTTACTGATATTTTATTCAGTGGGAAGAATTTTTATTCTCACCTTCAAATTTAGTAAAGTGCGTTTCTTACAGTAAAAACAGAACATGAGTTTGTAAGCCACAACTGAATTCCTCCTGACTCAGCCCGAGTTTTGATGATTTTCTTATTTTAATGCCTCTCTATGAAGCTCACTGGTGCCTGCTCTGTCTTCCTGGGATGACCTAGCCCCCGCCAGGCCTGGAGCTCTCCAGAGCCCTGCTCCTGCAACCCTAACACCTCCCTGAGGCCAAAACCACAGGCTTTGGAGGGGCCCCATGGAGCCAGCAGGAGAGGTGTGCACAGCTTTCTGCATTTTCCAAAGCAGCAGCAAAGGTCTGGTTCTCATCACTCTACTCTCTCCCATGTAAAAATGTTCCAAGTTACACGTGATGGTCGAAGAACTGAAAGGTAATTCTCATTTCTGGCAAATATGTCTCATTCTTGCTGGCACAGACACCTGTCAGGTGTGGTCTGGCACCGCCCGGCTGCCTCTGAGGCTTTCCAGGTTTCCTGGCACCAGAGAGGGCCCCTGAGACCCATGCAGTTACTGGAAGGAGCTCACTGAGAACTTAGTACACAGGGTGTGTGCTGCCATGGCAACTCTGGTCAGTGCCAGCCAGGAACCCGAGATGGTCAGCTGGGCTGACACATTTTCTAGAAGCCCCTCTCCCAGCCCATGGCGGCTGTTGGAGTGGCCACATTCATAAGGCGAGGCTAACCCTCAGCGACTTTTTGTTACTCATTTCATTTATTTATTTTGAGATGGAGTTTCACTCTTGTTGCCCAGGCTGGAGTGCAATGGAGCAATCTTGGCTCACTGCAAGCTCTGCCTCCTGGGTTCAAGCGATTCTCCTGCCTCAGCCTCCCGAGTCGCTGGGATGACAGGCGTCTGCCACCATGCCTAGCTAATTTTTGTTATTTTTAGTAGAGACAGGGTTTCACCATGTTGGCCAGGCTGGTCTTAATACTCCTGACCTCAGGTGATCTACCCGCCTCGGCCTCCCAAAATGCTGGGATTACGGGTGTGAGCCACCACACCCGGCCTTTGTTTATGTATTTATTTATTTATTGAGACTGAGTCCCATTTGTCTATTTTGGCTTTTGTTGCCATTGCTTTTGGTGTTTTGGTCATGAAGGCCCTGCCCGTGCCTATGTCCTGAATGGTATTGCCTAGGTTTTCTTCTAGGGTTTTTATGGTGTCAAGTCTTATGTTTAAATCTTTAATCCATCTGGAGTTAATTTTTGTGTAAGGTGTTAAGGAAGGGATCCAGTTTCAGCTTTCTGCATATGGCTAGCCAGTTTTCCCAACGCCATTTATTAAACAGGGAATCCTTTCCCCACTGCTCGTCAGATTTGTCAAAGATCAGATGTTGCAGTTGTGTGATGTGTGGTGTTATTTCTGAGGCCTCTGTTCTGTTCCATTGGTCTATATCTGTTTTGGTACCAGTACCATGCTGTTTTGATTACTGTAGCCTTGTAATGTAGTTTAAAGTCAGGTAGCGTGATGCCTCCAGCTTTGGTTTATTTTTGCTTAGGATTGTCTCGGCTATGCGGACTCTTTTTTTGGTTCCCTATGAAGTTTAAGGTGGTTTTTTTCAATTCTGTCAAGAAAGTCAATTTAGCACACAGGGTGTGTGTGGCAACACCAGCCTTTGGGAGGCTGAGGGGGGCAGATGGTTTGAGCCCAGGAGTTCAAGACCAGCCTGGGTAACATGGCAAGACCTCTTCTAGAAATAATACAAAATGTACAAAATGCAAAATACAAAAAATACAGCTGGGCACGGCAATGTATGCCTGTGGTCCCTGGTCCTCAGGAGGCTGACGTGGGTGGATCGCCTGAGCCCAGGAGTTTGGGGAATACAGTGAGCTGTTTGTGCCACTGCACTCCAGCATGGGTGACAGAGCCAGACTCTGTCTCTGACAAAAAACAAACAAATCTTTTCTCCTCCTTGTCAGGAAGTAAAGCCTGAACACATTCAGGTGTGGTGTGACGGTGAGCTGGGAGCTTGGAGGAACAGAGTGGGAACCACGGGGCTGAGGGGCATCCCTGATAGGAGCTGCTGCCCTCCTGCGGGGGCAGCCACGGGGGCCCCGGTGGGCAAAGCCACACACCTCCCTCCAGCCCCTGCTGCTCAGTCCCCTCCCATGTGCAGCAGGGCTGGGGGCCATGTTGAGAGAGGAGGAAAGCTGTGGCAGTGTGAGCCGTGGCCTGGCTGGTCCTGGAACCAGCATTCACTCTCGGCTGCATCCGAGCCCATGACCTCTGCCAGGGGAGCAGAACCTGCCTGTAGACTAGGCTTCCAGCACCAGGCAGGGAGAGTGTCCCAAGCTTCACAGAAAAGACAGGAAGGAAACACTGCCCCTAAACGACAGGATCACCACGGTTCCTTTTAATCGTCTTTCTTTTGCTTCTATTAGCTTTTGCAAGGTCCAATTTCTTTTTACAGTAAAGAGATTATCTTTTAAGAAAATAGACTTGGCGTGTGCCTGTAATCCCAGCTACTCGGGAAGCTGAGGGAGGAGAATCACTTGAACCCAGGAGGCGGGCTTGCAGTGAGCTGAGATCAAGCCATTGCACTCCAGCCTGCGTGACACTATGTCTCGAAGAAAAAAAAAAAGCCGGGCGCAGTGGCTCACACCTGTAAGCACTTTGGGAGGCCGAGATGGACGGATCACCTGAGGTCAGGAGATCGAGACCAGCTGACCAACATAGAGAAACCCTGTCTCTACCAAAAATACAAAAATTAGCCGGGCATGGTGGCGCAGGCCTGAAATCCCAGCCAGTGGGGAGGCGGAGGTTGTGGTGAGCTGAGATTTTGCCATTGCACTCCAGCCTGGGCAACAAGAGTGAAACTCTGTCTTGGAAAAAAAAAAAAAAAGAAAAGAAAATGCACTTTCTGGCAAGATTGTAGGGAAGTGTGTTTATGCAAACCGGTGGTGCAGAAACGGAGGGGCGGACCCTGTGGGCAGCCTGAGGGCCGTGCCAGCTCTTGGGCACAGACAGGAGCACCTCAGCATTTTCAGTGAAGAGAACACAAGGTTCAGGATCCACGTGGCTCCCTCAGGCCCTGAACCCAGGCAGGCAGGACAGCCTTGACCGCGGGGCAGGGGACCTCCCAGCATCTCGTCGGCAACCTCACCACCTGCGTGGCAGCTCCACAGGGAGGCCCACTGTCCAGCTGCTCCTGCCCCGGAGGTGGGGCCGTGGGGAGGGAGGGAGACGGTGGAAACAGCTGGATGTCCAGAGGAGGGGCTGGGCTGTGGGCACTGCTGGTTCAGATTGGCACTCCACCTGGCTGTGCAAGGCGGCGGGAAGCAGGGCCCAGAAGAATCCTGCAGGAGTTACAGAACTTAGAGCCGGCTGAGGATGGCTTCCCCCTCAAAACACCTCGGCTGCCTTGGCCATCCAGCACCTGCCAAAAATGCCAGCAGAGGCTGAGGCCACTACGTAAGACCAAGCACACTAGCGCCCGCCTTCTGCCCAGCCCCACCGGGCAGCACCCAATGTGGCCAGGCTGGCACAAGGGCCAGGAGGATGGGGGAGAAGGAGACACCCGCCCCGTGGGTCCTGCAGAGAACTGCCCATGCAGCAGCCAGCATCCAGGGACACAAGTGACCCCAAGAAGTGGGAGTGGCACCTCACCTAGAGCTTAGCAGAGAAAGATGCAAAATCTGCCAGCCCTTTCACATCGTTTGGGAATGTCAACCACGCCCCGCCATCAGCCACCAGCACGGCCCCCGTCACGTAGGAAGCCAGAGGGCTGGCCAGGAAGAGCACGCAGTGGGCAATCTCCGTCTTGTTCCCCAGCCTCTGCAGCGGGCTCACAGCGACCCTGGTGCTCAGGCTGGCCTGGGGGCCACCTGGAGGGCAGCAGAAGGCTCAGGCCCCATCAGCCCCAAGACCCAGCACCCTCCCCTCTCCCCCAGCTCATTCTCTGAGTGGCATCTGGGAACAGCAGGGGCACAGTCAGTGTCACCAAGGCCTAGCATGGAGCAGGATCTGGCCAGGCACAGACCACAGCCGCCACCATGGAACCAGCACAGGGCTTTTCAACACACCCCCTGCCAAGGTTCTGGAAGCTTCCATGGGTACCCTGTGCCTCAGGGGAGGATCTGTGGGAGGCCTGGGCTGAGAGCCTTACCCAGTCGCCGGAATCCCTCTGTGCCACTGATGGGGCCGGGGGCGAGGCTGTTGACACGGATATTCTGGGGACCCCACTCCACAGCCAAGTGCCGTGTCATTGCATCTGCACGGAAGAAGGTTGGATATGAAGGGGCCGCTGTCCCCTCTGTGGGGTCTCAGGGCCAAGGCCAGGCCTTGATGCCTGCAGCTGAGCTGAGCTTCACGTGGAGACTGCTGGCCTTCTGGGATGGAAGCAGAGGGCCCAGGGGGAACCCACGTGGGCAGACCCGAGGGAGGGGGGTCATACCCACAGCAGCCTTGGCAGAGCCTGCATGCACCTGGAGCACCTGCCCCCGGTGTCCCAGGGTGGCAGTGATGTTCACAATCACCCCTCCGTGGTCCTGCAACACACAAGGCATGGGGCAGGGAGCTTCTCACAGAGCACCCACCCCGGGGAGCGTCTCACGGGACAGCCACCCGAAGAAACCTGCCACGGGGCACCCACCCGGGGGAGCGTCTCACAGGGCACCCACCAGGGGGAACCTCTCACGGGGCACCCACCCGGGGGAGCGTCTCACGGGGCACCCACCGGGGGGAACCTCTCACGGGGCACCCACCCGGGGGAGCGTCTCACGGGGCACCCACCCGGGGGAGCCTCTCACGGGGCACCCACCCGGGGGAGCGTCTCACGGGGCACCCACCCGGGGGAGCCTCTCACGGGGCACCCACCCGGAGGAACTTCTCATAGAGCACGCGAGACACGTTGAAGGTGCCGCTGGTGTCTATGTCCAACACGGTCTTGAAGGCGTTGAAAGACAAGGCGCCAGCAGGGCACAGGAAGTTTCCAGCCGCACCTGCAGAGTGGGAGACCTCAGGAGCTGCTGGAGCCCGGGGAGAGGGACGCTGAGTCGGCGGTGGCCCTGATGGAAGGGTGCAGGAGGGAGCCCAGGTGCCCTGTGGCACAGGGAGGAGACCCATGCCCTAGGATAGCAAGATGGGACATTATGGGCTGAACCGTGGTTCCCAAGAAGACATGCTGAAGCAGGGACCCCTGCTACCTGTGACTGTGGCCCTGTTTGGAAACGCGGTGGGTGCAGATATAATTGAATTACATTGAAGTCACTCATTAGGGTGAGCCCTAAATCCATGACTGACATCCTTATAACAAGAGAAGAGGACACACAGACACACCCCATGTGAAGACAGTGGCAGAGGGCCTAGGACTGCCGCCGCACCTGAAGCCACAGGGAGGGCATGGAACAGGGTCCCACTGGGGCCTTCAGAGGGCGCAGCTCCACCAGAACTGGAGGTGGTATTGTTTTGACCACATAGCTTGTCGTGCTCTGTTAGCCCAGGAAACTAATACACAGGGTGTTTTTATTTTTTTATTTTTTATTTTTATTTTTTTATTTATTTTTGTTTTGAGATGGAGTTTCGCTCTTGTTACCCAGGCTGGAGTGCAATGGCGCGATCTCGGCTCACCGCAACCTCCGCCTCCTGGGTTCAGGCAATTCTCCTGCCTCAGCCTCCTGAGTAGCTGGGATTACAGGCACGCACCACCATGCCCAGCTAATTTTTTGTAGTTTTAGTAGAGACGGGGTTTCACCATGTTGACCAGGATGGTCTCGATCTCTTGACCTCGTGATCCACCCGCCTCGGCCTCCCAAAGTGCTGGGATTACAGGCTTGAGCCACCGCGCCCGGCCCACAGGGTGTTTTTAAAAGGGAATTTCTGTAGAGTGAACCCAGTAGTGCTTCATCAATTGTAACAAACGCAATATGTTAATAGGGAAAACTGTGTGAGTGGGAGTATGCAATTCCGTGTATTATCAATTATTCTATAAACCTAAAACTGCAGTAAAAAATAAAAGCCAGAGGCCAGGCATGGTGGCTCACGCCTGTAATCCCAGCACTTTGGGAGGCCGAGGCAGGCGGATCATGAGATCAGGAGTTTAAGACCAGCCTGGCCAACAGGGTGAAACTGTGTCTCTACTAAAAATACAAAAATTAGTGGGGTTTGGTGGCATGCGTCTGTAGTCCCAGTGGGGAGGCGGAGGTTGCAGTCAGCCGAGACTGCACCACTGCACTCCAGCCTGGGCGACAGAAAGAGACTCCATCTCAAAATACATACATACATACGTACATACAAAAAATTAGCCAGGCGTGGGGGCGTGCACCTATAGTCCCAGCTAGTTGTGAGGCTAAGGCATGAGAATCATTTGAACCCAGGAGGCAGAGGTTGCAGTGAGCCAAGATCGCGCCACTGCACTCCAGCCTGGGCGACAGAGTAAGACTCTGTCTCAAAAAACCCAAAAAAAAACAAAAATTAGCCAGGCATGGTGGCACTTGCCTGTAATCCCAGCTACTAAGGAGGCTGAGACAGGAGAACCCCTTGAACCCAGGAGGCGGAGGTTGCAGTGAGCCAAGATCACGCCATTGCACTCCAGCCTGGGCAACAAGAGTAAAACTCTGTCTCAAATTAGTTAATTAATTAAAATAAAATAAAAATAGGGCCGGGCGCGGTGGCTCAAGCCTGTAATCCCAGCACTTTGGGAGGCCGAGGCGGGTGGATCACGAGGTCAAGAGATCGAGACCATCCTGGTCAACATGGTGAAACCCCGTCTCTACTAAAAAAATACAAAACATTAGCTGGGCATGGTGGCGCGTGCCTGTAATCCCAGCTACTCAGGAGGCTGAGGCAGGAGAACTGCCTGAACCCAGGAGGCGGAGGTTGCGGTGAGCCGAGATCGCGCCATTGCACTCCAGCCTGGGTAACAAGAGCGAAACTCCGTCTCAAAAAAAAAATAAATAAATAAAATAAAATAAAAATAAAAGTTAGGCCAGGCTAGCTTTTATTTCACTGGTGATTCTTGCCTGTAATCCCGGCACTCTGGAGGCCAAAGCAGGAAGACTGCTTGAGCCCAGGAGTTTGCGACCAGCCTGGGCAACACAGTACGACCCTGTCTATGCAAAAAATAAAAATACAGGCCAGGCACGGCGGCTCACACCCGTAACCCCAGCACTTTGGGAGGCTGAGACGGGCGGATTGCCTGAGGTCAGGAATTCGAGGCCATCCTGGCCAACAAGGTAAAACCCCCTCTCTACTAAACATACAAAAATTATCTGGGTGTGGTACTGTGCGCCTGTAGTCCCAGCTACTCAGGAGGCTGGGGCCGGAGGATGGCTTGAGCCCAGAAGGTGGAGGCTGCAGTGAGCCATGATGACTCCAGCCTGGGTGACAGAGCGAGACCCTGTCTCAGAAAAAAAACAGACTATTACTTTTTTTTAAGAAGGGACTTTCAGGACCCAAGGGTACCTGACTCCGCCATTCAGCCACGTTCACGGCATCCACATGAGCTGCAGCTGCGCTGACCTGCTGCCATCTGCAGCAGCAGAGCAAGGCTGGAGACAGAGGCCCAGAGCCTGCGTCTTGGCCTCACGTACCTGGGGTGCAGCCCACCCCAGGGCAGGTGCCTAGGTTCCCTGACACGGTCCCCACCCCAGGATCAGAGTTCTGGGGCCTCCAAGTGGTACCGCCGACCTGTGAGAAGCCACCCACCTCACTCAGCACCGACTCACAGTTAATGAGAATGTCGATTTTGCCGAACTCCTTCAGAGCCTGGTCCACAGCAGCCGTGACAGCCGAGGGCACTCGGACGTCCATAGAGAGAGGGAGGCAGCGCCGGCCGGTGGCAGCAGCGAGCTTCCTGGCGGCCTAGAAGCCAAAGAGGCAGACAGCAGCCCTGCAGCCTTGGCCTGGAGAAAACGCCTCTGGAAGCCAAAGAGGATGATACATCCGTGCTCCACTGGGACCCTGGGTTTGCCGCTGGGCCCCCACTCTGGGGAGGCACGGCCTGCAAGTGCCCACCACCCTGGGGGATGTTTATAGGATCCTGCCCCACTCTGCCCACACCTGCCACCCGTCCTAGACCAGAGGCGCACAGGTGATTCTCCTTCCAGGTTGAGGGCTCCGGTGGGTGGGATACACCAACCACTTTCACGACCCACGTAAGCCCAGAGATCCTTCTTGGGGCCATGTTACTCCAAACAGAAAGGTCCCTTCCAGGACCCAATAACTAGATTTAAAAAAAATAGTTGGCCGGGTGTGGTGGCTCACGCCTGTAATATCAGCATTTTAGGAAGCCAAGGCAGGCGGATCACAAGGTCAGGAGATGGAGACCATCCTGCCTAACATGGTGAAACTCTACTAAAAGTACAAAAAGTTAGCCAGGCGTGGTGGTGCGCACCTGTAATCCCAGCTACTCGGGAGGCCGAGGCAGGAAAATCTCTTGAACCCGGGAAGCAAAGGTTGCAGTGAGCCGAGATGATGCCACTGCATTCCTGCACTCCAGCCTGAGCAACAGAGCGAGACTCTGTCTCAAAGAAAAAAAGTCCACAACCTGTTAAATTTTTTTTTTTTTTTTTTGAGACGGAGTTTCACTCATGTTACTCAGGCTGGAGGGCAATGGCGCGATCTCGGCTCACCGCAACCTCCGCCTCCTGGGTTCAGGCAATTCTCCTGCCTCAGCCTCCTGAGTAGCTGGGATTACAGTCACGCACCACCACGCCCAGCTAATTTTTTGTATTTTTAGTAGAGACGGGGTTTCACCATGTTGACCAGGATGGTCTCGATCTCTTGACCTCGTGATCCACCCGCCTCGGCCTCCCAAAGTGCTGGGATTACAGGCTTGAGCCACCGCGCCCGGCCAATATTTTTTTTTTTTGAGACAGGGTCTCACTCTGTTGCTCAGGCTGGAGTGCAGTGGTGTGCTCACAGCTCACCGCAGCTCAGCCTCCCAGGTTCAGGGATCTTCTGGCTTCAGCCTCCGGAGTAGCTGAGACTGCAGGCTTGTGCCACCACACCTGGCTGTTTTTTTCAGTTTTTAGTAGAGATAAGGTCTCTTTATGTTGACCGGCTTGTCTTAATCTCCTGGCCTCAAGTGATCCTCCAGGCCCGGCCTCTGAAAGTGTTGGGATTACAGGTGTGAGCCACCACACTCATCCAAACTAGATGTTTTTTAAGTCAAAGACGTCTCTGGGAGACCACTGACACTGAAGCTCCATATTTAGGAAAGCTGCAAGTTTTGGTGTAATGCCAGCACTTTGGGAGGCTGAGGCGGGCAGATCACCTGAGGTCAGGAGTTTGAGACCAGCCTGGTCAACATGGTGAAACCCCATCTTTAACAAAAAAATACAAAACTTAGCTGGGCGTCGTGGCGATGCCTATACTCCCAGCTACTCAGGAGGCTGAGGCAGGAGAACTGCTTGAACCTGGGTGGCGGAGGTTACAGTGAGCCAAGATTACACCACTGCACTCCAGCCTGGGTGACAGAGCGAGATTCCTGCCTCAAAAAAAACCAACAAACGTTTTGGTGCCAACATCCCCTCAGCCTCTGGACCCCCCTGGCCCAGGCCCAGCACCCCCACAGCCACCTGCAAAAGAAACCATGGGAGAGGCCCTCTCACCGTCAGCACTCGGGGTAGGCTCCTGCTGGCGATCACCGTGTGGCAGCCGTGCCTGCAAAACCAGAAGCAGGCGTGAGGTAAGTTCGGGTGAGGGGCACTCCCAGGGGGCATCTGCCCAGCTCCTGGGCAGGAGTCTCTCGGGTGATGTACCAGTCCAGGGCTGAAGGCCTGGCTGGCAGAGGGCACAGGGCATGAACAGGACTGAGAAACTCTGGAGGGACCTCAGGTTCTGTTCACCCCCGGGGTTGCTGGCAGGGGACATCCCACCCACACAGGCCTGCGGGCCCTGGCCTACCTGTACACCAGGTACAAAGGCAGCTGTGAGCCCCTGAGGCCCAGTCCAGACATCTGCCAGGGGCCTGCTGGACCCCACACCCCCCGCCTCCTCCTGTCTGTGGGGTTGGCGTGGAGGTCCAAGAGCCCATTTGGAAGCAGGGTGCTCCCCGCTCCCCTTCCTGACCACCGTGGACGAGAATCCACCACGCTGGCCTCTCATGAACCCGGTCCCAGCAATGCCGCTACAGTTTTCCGGTTTATCTACTGTTCTTCCGACAGAGCACAAAGATAATCCTGCCGTTAGATCAAAACCACCTTGACATCATCCTAAGCAAATTCCCACACACTCCCTGAGGCAAGACCCCTTTCCCTGTGGTCTAGCAGCCCTGGGCCGGGGGGGACAGCAGGGAGATGCCTGTCCCGCAGCCACCCAAGCAGACGCTTCCGTCCATAAGTTCCCCAACAAAATCACCCCATATGGACAATTGGGATCTGTCTGCCTAGTTCTTTGGTTTCTCGGCTCTTCTGGTTTGGGGGCTGCTTCCCCACAGTAACCACAAAGGCAGCTACCCCTGCTAGGCAGGTCCCACTGAAGCTGCCATGTCGATCCGGTCCTCAGACCCCGAGCACAGAGCCACCAGTGGAAAGGCCAAATCTCTTCCTGTGGGACTCACCTTTCTGGTATGGAAAGGAAGGGCCTCAGGGGACCTGAGAAAGGGTCCTTTTCCCACTCCTTATCCTAACTCTAGCCGCTGTCAGGTGGGATGAGTTGCTGACTCCAGCCTGAGGCCACAGAACTTGTATCCCAAGAGGAATCTCTAAAAGGTAACAGCACTGGGGCCTGACACAGCCCCAATTCTCAAGGTCCCAGCAGACCCCAGACCAGAGCCACACAATCTCCACTGACCTCTAGGAGCCCTGGAAGTCCTGACTCCCCCCAGGGCAATCCCCGACCCCTCCCCAGCCCCTCTGGCAAGCACCTGGACCCTGTCGGGTGGGTGGGTAGGGGACCCTGTCGGGTGGGTGGGCAGGGGACATCTACCTCCCACCAGCATCTTCCCAGGGGTCTGGCATCCAGCAGGGCCCAGGCAGGAAGAAGCGGGGAGCAGGGAGGGGACAGAGAGCAGCCTCACCGCATGAAAATCTCAGCAATCCGGAACCCGATCCCAGAGCCGCCACCTGTGATGAAGGCCACTTTGTCCCTGAGAGAATTAAAAGGAGGCTCTGTTAAAAGAGCCCTGTTAAAATACACCCCACATATTGCCATACGGTAATGATTGAAAATGAAAATTCATGGAATTACAGTATTTTGTTTGAGGCTCCCAGGCTGGTGACCTCTCAGGGTAAAAGGATCCTCCTGCTTCAGCCTCCCCAGTAGCTGGGACTACGGGTGCATGCCACCGTGCCCAGCTAATTTTTTTCCCGCTTTTTCTAGAGAGGGGTATTGCTTTGTTGCCCAGGCTGGTCTTGAACTTGTGCTGACACAAACTTGCAAAGTGCAGTGAGAGAAAGTGTATTTTGGTATCTTTTGACAGAAATTGAGTGAAGTAGCTACAAGACAGAAAAAATAACCCTGGCTTAAATAAGATAGAAGTTATAGTTTCCGGGCCGGGCGCGGTGGCTCACGCCTGTAATCCCAGCACTTTGGGAGGCCGAGGCGGGTGGATCACGAGGTCAAGAGATCGAGACCATCCTGGTCGACATGGTGAAACCCCGTCTCTACTGAAAATACAAAAATTAGCTGGGCATGGTGACGCGTGCCTGTAATCCCAGCCACTCGGGAGGCTAAGGCAGGAGAATTGCTTGAACCCAGGAGGTGGAGGTTGCGGTGAGCCGGGATCACGCCATTGCACTCCAGCCTGGGTAAAAAGAGGAAAACTCTTCCTCAAAAAAAAAAAAAAAAAAAAAAGAAAGAAAGAAAACCAAAATAAAATTAATATAAAACTAGAAAAAAGAAAAAACAGATCCACCTGTTAGCCAAGTGAGGGCAGGTGGCCTTGGAGGACTTTGACCTTCACACGGCGGTCCTCCCTTGTGAACACCAAGGCGTTTGCAGGAAAATCAATAGTTGCCGGGCAAAATCCAGCATTCCTGGGCCTTCCTGGGTCTTACGGAAAAATGACTTCAACCTAAAATTTTCTGTAAAGAGGTTGGGACGGGAGCAGTGGCTCACGCCTGTAATCCCAGCACTTTGGGAAGTTAAGCCGGTGGGATCACCTGAGGTCAGGAGTTCGAGACCAGCCTGCCCAACATGGCAAAACCCCGTCTCCACTAAAATTAGAAAAATTAGCTGATGGTGGTAGCAAGCACCTGTAATCCCAGCCACTCATGAGGCAGGAGAATCGCTTGAACCTGGGAGGCGGAGGTTGCAGTGAGACGAGATGACGCCACTGCACTTCAGCCTGCCTCTCAAGAAGGAAGGATAGATGGAAGGAAGGGAGGGTGGGAGGGAGGGATAGACGGAAGGAAGGGAGGGTGGGAGGGAGGGACAGACGGAAGGAAGGGAGGGTGGGAGGGAGGGACAGACGGAAGGGAGGGAGGGTGGGAG